CAAGATTATGCCAAAATTTGATGTTTTCCGTCCCGTTTTTGCTCATTTCTCGGAGGCAAAATGAGCAAGAACGCTCATTTGTACATCATTCTAGACAGAAATAAATGGCCTTTTGTGAAAGTGAACCATCGATAAGGAAATGATGGCAGTTTTCTCAAAAATTGCTTGAATTCAAGAAGTTTTAGATTTGCGTGGGGGGGTTCATGACCCCCCATGAGCCCCCCCCCCTGGATCCGCCCTCGTGTAAGAGCAAGAGTGAACTGAAAATCCTTTACCGCCAAATCTGAGGATGAGTTATATGAGTGCGAGCGAAACGTCAGGGTCAAATTCCTATCGACAACGACCTAATAACCCGATATAATTTTTATTGAATTATCAAACGCGGAAAGCATGCTGATGGCGATGTTGAGCGGCGTCTACGTCTAATGCACGTGACAAGAGAAGACCGTAATTCTAAATGAAAATCGCTGTGACCAAAAATGTAAAGTGAAGAATTGGATTCCGTTGTAGCAAATCTCGGGATAATATGCAGCGAAATGCACTACGGATGGCCGTCGCCGTCGCTTCCCATTCTGATGAGCGGCAACTACACGTTCACTGTGACCAGCGATGAAGGGTCCTGGTTGGTGGTGGCGCCCCTATTTGGAGCCATCGTGGGCGCCCTCATCACTGGCATGATTGTCGACATTCTAGGCAGAAAACGGTTGATCATCTTCTCAGCAGTGCCCTTCATCGCCTCCTGGTTCTTCATCGCTTGGGCCTCCTCCGGTCCCTTGATGTTCGTGGCCCGATTCATGGCCGGCATGACGGATGGGCTTTCGTTCACGGCCGTGCCGATGTATTTGGGTGAAATCGCCGAGGCGAAAATCCGCGGCTTGATCGCCTCCATCTGTCCAGTCTCCATTAGCTTGGGCATTCTGCTGATTAACGTGCTGGGCTCGTATCTGCCCATCGATACCACGGCCTACGTGGCCACAGTGGTGCCGCTCCTGTTGCTCCTCACGTTCGTCTGGATGCCCGAAAGCCCCTATTTCTACCTGATGAAGGGCAATGTGGAGGAGGCGAGAAACAGCCTGCAGAGATTCCGGGGCACGGAGGACGTGGCTGTTGAGCTGGAACGGATCTCCGAAGCGGTGGCCCAACAGAACAAGAACAGGGGGCGGTGGCTGGATCTGCTCACCGTCCCAACCAATCGCAAGGCAGTGGTGATTGCCTTTGGCCTGCGAACCGTTCAGCAGCTGAGCGGCACCACCGCCATAGTGTTCTACTGCAAGAAGATCTTTGAGGAGTCCTCGGATTTCATGTCGCCCAGTTTGGCCACGATCATCTACTTTGGGGTGCAGCTGGCGCTGTCGGCCATTGCTTCCATAGTGGTGGACTTCTCTGGCCGCAGGCCTTTGCTGATCGTCTCCATCATCGGCACTGCCATCACCCTCTTCCTCAACGGCGCCTACTTGTACATCAAAACGCACACAGACATCGACACCAGCCAAGTGAACTTCCTGCCTCTTTTGGCCCTGTTGGTGTTCGTGGTGGTGTTCAGCATCGGCCTCCAAACCATCCCGCTGCTTCTCATGGGCGAGGTCTTCTCGACCAATGTGAAGGCTTTCGGCCTATGCGCGGCCGACATCTACTACAGCATCATCGTCTGCATCATCTCCAAGCTGTTCCATTGGTCGAACGACCGATTCGGGATGCATGTGCCGTTCTTCTCGTTCGGCATCTGTTGCCTGTTCGGGCTGCTGTTCATCGTGTTTTGTGTGCCCGAAACCAAAGGCAAAACATTGGAGGACATTCAGGAGGAATTGAAATCGGACAAGTGGCAATTTCGTTAGTTGTAGATAAGTTCTATATTGTTGAGGCGGATTCATTTTTTACAAACTTCTTTTTGGGTATTTCGCCTCAAAAATTTTTGTCTTTAAAAAAGACGGAATTTCCTCACGTCTTTTATTACAGATTGATAAATAGTGCTCCTATTTTGCAATAAGAACGAATTATTTATCAAAAAGTAATCAAGAACTATCACCTAGACGGTATCCTGCGACACACTTAGGCTCAAGCTGTAAGAGAAAATTCTTCTGTAATAAAAGACGTGACGAAATTCTGTCTTTTTTAAAGACAAAAATTTTTGAGGCGAAATACCCAAAAAGAAGTTTGTAAGAAATTTCGTTAGTGTTGGCACGGTTTTGATTAGCCCCTGATGCCTGATGCAATCGGTATGCTAATTAGGCGCTTTTCACGGTGTTGGCAGTTTACTGTTGTTATTACACGTTTGTTTCACTCTAGTTGATTGTTTCTTCTGCAATTTTTCCCTCGTTCGTATGTCGATGTTGGTTAATCTCGATTTTTGCTTCCAACTGTGCCCTGTTTTAACGGTCGTAAGCGCGCTTTTAAACTGCGACAGTAGGCCTAGGTAACACTGTGTTGAGTTGCGCATTTGAGTTGTTGCCGCTCTCTGAGTTAATGAGTTTTAACTCATCGGTTAATGAGTTATAACTCCTAGCCTAAAAGTGAACTTTATTTCGATTTGTATCTGAAAAAGGTGATAAAGAAGAGCAACGTCTGGGTCCAAAGACGACGAGTTTTCTTGTGAAATCGATCTCTCAATTTTTTTGCCTAACACTCTGGCAGGATTTTGCAGTAAAACGCAAAGAAAAACCGCGTTTTTACGTTTAGGGAGAGTTTTTGAGAAATATTGCCTTAAAGTGATGAAACCGGAGTTATAAAAGACAAATTAACGCGACGAAGGTGACGAGTTTTCCAAATAATTGATTGTAAAGTTTCGCTTGTTTTGTTCGGGGAAATATTTCTGGAAAACAATACAGAAAAAACTATTAGGGTTTTGCACGTAATTCGAATGGAAATTTTTTACAAGGCTGTTAACGAAGCAAGTGTTCCAATTTTTCACAGAAAATAGCTGAAGATTGTCAGTATTTTTAAGTAAAACTAAAAAATAACGCGTTTTTTTGCGTAGAATTAATTGCTTAATCAGAACTGTGCCAAAACTGGAAAGACCTGAAATTTTAAGGAAACTGTAAAAGTCTTCAGAGCACTGAGGGCGGCGAATTTTCTAAATAATTTTTTGAAAGCTTTTGCTCTGGACGTTTTTTTTTTTCAAGATAATCCTGATTACTTTCCGTAAAAATTGACTTACAATTATCTGGCTTTTGTGCCAAATTCTAAGCTGGAAAGGGTTTTCTCAAATTCCCTTGCTACAAAGCTATAAATTTATCTTTTTTAGCAATTTTTCGCGTAAAACACTTCCACATTACTTTTTAAAGATTGGGCAGCTTCGATCAAACCTGATTGAGAAAAGGGATGTTTTTCGAGACGATCTCTCAAAAAGTGCTTTATTTTGCTGTTCAGCTCGTTTCGTTGATACACAGCGTCGTTTTCAAAATACCGGGTGTTTGCGTTAGAAGTTGAAATCCTTGCGGTTTTTCGAATATTTATTCTCGGGTTTAGATCGATCATGTGGTCAAGGTATTGAAAGAGTTTACAGGTTAAAGATGCTTTTTTAGGGGGCTCATGTCCCCTGTGACCACCCCAACCTTTTCCTGGTGCGGCACTGAAGTCTAGCGCAATTTTTCTCAATTCCTTGTTCAAGTTGGACACTTTTTATCCTTTGCGGCCACTTTCCAACATCAGGGACTCTTTTTTACCTCTTGCAATTTTTTTGCACCAAAATTACTAATTAATGCTTGCAAGAATAGAACGACATCATTTACAATTTGAAGCAAAACTCTCAAAAACTGCAGGGGGTTAAACAAAGGATTCGCGAAAGTAGTTTATATACAAGGGAATTAATAAATCCCAAATAAAACAACGGAAATGTTAAGGTCAATTGCCGTGAAGTGTTTCGCTTGCCTCCAATGTGTTTTTGCTGAATTTCACCATTTTTTATACAGAGTGAGCATATCTATGGACGCGTAGCGTGCCTGAATCACCCTGTATATTCAACAGTCGTCTGGTAATTTTGGCCCGCCGACATTTACAGAATGACTGGGATTTTTAATAATGCCTTAAAAAAGAAGGCCAGACTGTTACATTGAATGAAAATATTGGTTTAGTGTGGCTATTTATGTGCCACTACGTCAATGCTTGAACAATAAGAACCACAGTCAAGAGCCCCATGTGGTAAAGCTAAGATTGACAAAGGCTTTGGTGAATTGTAATTGTTCGTAAGATTGCGGAAATTTCGGGGATCAGAATTAATCGCCATTTAAATAGAGTTTTTTTGTGAACTTAATTACCACTTAGTTGCCGACGATTTACATCATGTTTCATTGAAATTAATTTATTGTTGATCACGAATTTCTCCAGCGTTGACAATGTTTTTATTTATATTTTTTATTAGCGACTGTATGAATGTGTTTCCCAAGTGTATGCGCTGTTGAAACCTACTGGCGTCACTCAATATTATTGGCGATTGGAAACCGCAATTAACACCTTCATTTATTGCCTATTAATACGACGAAGATTTTCCGAAAAATCCATAAATTTGCTTTGTTCATTAACCACTAGCCAAGTGCTGCCTGCCAGTGAAGAGTCTGGAGTCGATTGACCGTATTGTTCCGACATTCGATTTGATTAAAAGGTCGTGATCCAGTCGCAGGAATTTAATGTTTTTATCAATTTTTGCCGTTTTTATGCAATTATCGGCTGATGGCCAATGAAACCGAATCAAACCAATTTTCGCTTGTATTTTGTGGAAATTCTATTTAATTTAATATGCCCTAATAGTTATTGAGCGAAGCACAAGGAATCTGGATTAAAGAACGTGTTAATGTAAATAATCCATAATTGTTTTCAACGGCACGAATTGGAGAAGCTGTGCACRCTTTGCACCGGTGAATATTTCGAAAAATCTCTGGATTTCTGTATTTTTATGGGCAATTTTATTTCTGAAAATGCCAGTTTCCTTAATCGCTCTCGGAGGCATTTCTGGGAAATTGGGCCGGTAATAGCATCATTTGTGAAGACTTTGGCAAAACCTTGAAAATCTTCACTGGCGAAAAACTGAACCCAATAGGCGACTTTCGCGTTGATGAAATGTTTTGCAAGCAACACTTTGAGAAAACATGTACCATTGCGGCGTTGCCAATTACGCGAAATTATCCCTAAAAGTTGGGAAATTTCAAAAGTAGTTGCCGTCTCAAGGCGGTCACTTTCAAGCCGAAGAAAACACAATATTACCCCGTTGCCGGAACTAGCAGCGATCTATTGCGTTTTTTCGCCGAAAAATTATCGCTAGATTAGTATGCGTGCGTCTGTCCTAATGTTGATGGTCGGCGATAATCAATTCAGCCTTTATTTTTCCGCAAAAATTCATTGTACTATTTGGTGTTAAGTGGCGGTCCGTTAGTGATACCCGAAGGCCCAGATTGTGTTTTCAATCCAGTGGCGCGTCCGCGAAGAAAATTGTGCTAAACTGGCCCGGTGAAGAACCGCGAATTTATTGGAGGTGCACTTTTTCGTGTGGTCCACCGACACCGCAAGCCAGGACGAATTTTGCAGGTAAGCAACGTTGGTGAATAAGAATACTCCTGGTGCTGCCACTGGTTCTAGCTTGCAGAATCTGTTAACGCTTTTTACCTTTCCACTACCATCTTCATCCGAAATCTTTTCCATTCAATTTGAGAATGGCATAGAGTGGACTTTACCTTTAGGGATTTGCGACTAATTATTCCACTGGCTTCATGTGGGGGCTATTTGGCTAAGGCTTACTGAGCAAGATCCATAAGCAAATTCGCTGTTTCTGCTATATAAGTTCGCATTTTGCCGTCGAAAAGCCAGACATAACCGCAGCCAAGATGATCTTTGGGCTGGCGCAGAAAATCAAAGTGCCTGAGGGTAGTTCTGCCTATCAGTACCTGGCCACCCTTACAGGTAAGTTTTTTTAATTAACGTTTTTACTGATTGACGGGATTTGGGAAAGCACGAGTTATATCGATGCAATAAATGGAAACTACGAACGCAGCAGCACAATTGCAGACATTCTGTTGATAAAGCATTTCTGTATCTAGTCTATAAGTACTCCGATCTGCCCGCACTCTGTATTCTCTGTCAAGCCTTCAGCACGCGAAATCTTGTACGTGAAAATAAAAACTTTCGTTTTTAAAAAGGACATTTTCAATTGGAAATCTATAATTCACGCTTTCTTTTTGCGTCACTTACACGTGGAAGACGACCAGAAACGGGGTTGCGGCTGGTTTGCTCTTCCTTTATCAAACACTATGTATATGATATTCAAATTTTATGGGCTTTGAACGGTTGCTTGGCGGATTTTCCAAACCATGAGCGCGCTAATGCAAATCCAGACACCATCTAGATGGGGGAAAACTGTTTTTTTCGTTGCTGGTTATTGGCGACATAAACCAAAAAAGCAGGAAATTTTTCATTAATAATTCATGATAAAAACCAGATGGTTTGGCTGAAAATTGGAAGGTCACTATTATGTAAGCATCATTAGCTTGAGCTCGTCTGTTACCGGGTAAGATTCAATTGAAAATTTAGTCAAACGTGGTCAATTGGTGCGAATTCCTACGAAATTAATCGCGAATTGTATCAACTGTTTTGGTCAAAGCGTAGTAGAAATTTGCATGTTCGAGGCGCCGATTTCGCAAGCCAAATCTTATCGGCGCATTAAAAAAAATTACTTGTTTCACTTTGTTTTAAGTGGCAATAAACCCGAGTTTTAAATTCCCATACAAAGTTTATAACATTTGCAGCTTGACGAACAATCGGTGATTTTTGGGCCGTCGTCGATAAGAATTTAGTCCGCAGTCCGGACTTTCGCTACCATCTTCAGAGTGTGTTGGTTTGGAGCTTGGGGCTTATCAGATATTTTCATCCGTTTTCCAGATATTTATCAGACG